GCGCGCTTCAGCGGGGCCACGTGGACGCTTGGGCGGCGTGGAGCGCGCGCTGGTGCGGGCGCGGTGGACGCAGCGCAGAGCGCGGGCAGGTATGACGGCGCACGGCGCACGGGGCCGGAGCGCGGCGAGGCTGACGCCGCGCGCTGAGCTCGTCTTTTATTTACAACAGAGCTACCCCTCGGGTAAGACCCGACGAGCGGGTCTTGTCGGGCGCGGGCAGCGCGGGCAGCGCGGCGCGCCGGTCGACACGCGTTGATGCAGGCACGCGACTCGCTCGACCGCGCGCCGCGATGTGGCTGGCCCGATGTGGCGCCCCCTGCGACGCTCGCCGTTTCTGCACAACACGGGGCGCGCTCTCGTTGGCCGTGCGATGCATTCCGCGAGCGGAACAACGACCTGCGATACTGTACACCCACCATACTGTACACGTGTGCTACACTACACGTGTACAGCGCGACGACTTCTTTCCCAGTTTTCGCCCCAGTTTTCACCCAGTTTTCAAAGTTTGCCAAAGTTGGACACTTTTCGCCCCAGGCCCTCTCGGCCTCCCCACCGCCGCGCCCTCCCCACCGCCGCGCCAGCGCCCGCGCCGCCCGCTCGCCGTATTTAAGCCGCTCGTGGATTCTCGCGCCCCCCCTTCGACCGCTTTTCTCTTCCCCGTATTCTTGCGCTAGGAATTTGCCTGCTCCATGACGCTTTGCGGAGAGCCGGCATTGCCGTTTGCAATCTAAACATCGATTTACGCAGCTCCTTTGTGACTGCAATTTTTGTTTCACCTCCCCCGATCGCATGTCGTGACCCTCTTCGTCCGCATGTCCCCCCCCCCCCCCCCCTTCTCTAACCGCATTGCTCTCTTTCTTCTCGCGCCCACGCTCCTTCGCTCTCTCGCACCCCGATCGCCGAATTACCCACTAAACGCAACAAACTCTGCCTTTCAAACTCTGCCTTTTTACTCGTCCCGCTTCTGCCCGCTCACCACGCTCCTCGCCACCAAATCCCTGACAACCCCGCCCATGACCCCATCCCCGTATACCTTTGCCAGCCCCGCCTCCGCAACCCCCCTCAGCCTTTCATTCTTGCCCTCCTCCTCCTCATCCCCGGCCCCCTCCAGCCTAGCGCACGCCAGCCACAGCCCGAACAGCCCCCGCACATTTCCCCTCTTCCTCCTCATCAAGCTGCCCGCGTAGTGCCCCCTAGCCAACCGCACGCCCTCCACGCCCCCCGCCGTCATATAAACCTCTGCCACGAGGCAGTGCGCCGCGTGATCGGCCCCCTCCAGCACCACCAGCTCATTCGCTGCAAACGCCGCATGCCCCAACCTCCCCAGCCCGAGCGCCATCGCGCAGAGCTCGCCCCACGCGTCGCGATCCTCCCCGAACATCTTCACGTAGTAGCTCAGCAGCGCCACCGCCTCGCTCCGCTTCCCCTCGCTCTTGAGCACGGCCACCTGCCTCTTGTACACCCCCGCCGCCAGCGGCATCTTGCCCGTCACACCCATGTACGTCCGCATCGCCTCGCCCCATCGCCCGCGCGCCTCGTCCCGCACCCCCACCAGCACGAACGCCCGCGCGCTGTGCGGGAACCGCCCCATTATCCGCTCCACCAGACCCGACATCCGCGGAAAGTCCCCCGCGCACCCCGCCCACCAGCATATCTGCGCCGCCGTGTCCCACCACTCGCGCGTCGACGGCCCCAGATACGACAGCGCCGACGCCCCGTGCCGCAGCACTAGGTCCCCGCGCGGGAGCCGCGACGCCCGCAGGTGCGCGAGTAGCCCCGCTGCCAACCTGCCGGACACCTCGCTGCCGCCCGCCCCGGATAGCTGCGCGCGCAGCTCCGCTTCGGCCATCGCGGCGGGGAGCGTCGCCGTGCTGAGCCTGCCGGAGAGAGAAGAGCAGTGCGCGCGTGCACGGCTGGGATGCCCGGTTCGAGCAGAGGGCGATGCGTCGGATGTAAAAGACTCTCTCACGGGCCTTGGCAATCGATTCTAAGGCTGCTGCGAAGAGGGGCCCGTCCTCGGCTTGAGCGGTTTCGGCTGATTGTATCACTTGGGATCAGATCGGCATTCACCGACGCCCCGAAAAAAGGCCGTTGGGCGATGGTGGTAGATGGACACGACTAAAGTCGATGCGTCGCGAAAGTGGTGTCATTCTTCTGCATGTCATATCCCGCGCCAGAATTTACAAATCACGCAATTTACACACGTCCACAGGTTGGGGCTCATAAATGGCATCAACCGACCCGAACCTGTGCATATACACTACATGCGCTGTCTGTTGGGCAACTGCGACTTGCAATCCACTTCCCCAGTGTTCCGCATATATCCTCTCTGCTCGACGCGGGGAAAGAAGGAGAGATGTTCCCTCCGTATTAAGACGTAATTAACTTAACAACAACCAGCACACACCAGTTTTATACAAATCAATAACCGTTCTTGTGCCAACCCCCTCCTCCCCCCGCCCGCCCGCGTATATTTCAGAATATACAAGAACACTTTAAATGATTTGCTCCAGTTCCCTAGCGTACACCAAAGACCTCTTAATCATCTCCGACGACGGGATCTGTTCAACATCACCCTTTCCAGCATCCTTTGCAGAAAAGTAGATGAAGCCACCTTCTAATCTCCAATTCCTCCCCTCACAAAACTCCTGCAACTCCTCCTCGGACGCGATCGACATCATGCGCATCGCCGAGTCCGCCGCCAAGCTCGTATACGCCTTCTGGCTGCAGTCTGCAATTTCCTCGCGCACGGTAATCATGAGGTTGTCCACAAAAAAGTTAAACGACGGGTGCGGCGCGGAAATCCCTTCTTCGCGAATCTTTGAATAAGATCCCTCCATGAGACAGTTTTCCAGTTTCAGCGCATACTTGATGTACGTGTCTTCACGCGCGTCGCTGGGGACGAGCTCCAACTCGGTGTGAAACTCGCCGATCCGATTTTGAGCCATGAGTCGCATCAGATTCAGACCAAGGATGAGATTTTGGCGGCCGGACGGGGGGATCACAGTCCCAAAGTCCACATAGTACGTCTTGGCTTGGGCCACGTGTCGCTCGAACGCGACCTCATCCTCTTGCTTGAGGCTCAGCAGAGTGGCGATTTCGTATACATCGCGAGCTAGCGTGATGTCACTGTGAGACGCAGCGGCGCGACAGATGAAAACATAGAATGCACATAGCCACAGTTAGCAGATGAACGACGGTACGACGTCCACGATGGCACACAAGCTGCATAACCAGACGCATGGGTTCAAACGTACGGTAGAATATCCTGTGAAATCGGGACGCCAGGTTGCAAACCCGGGAGGGTAGTGAGGGCGATCTAAGACGACAAGAGGCAGTGGCAACACCAGCGCAGTTGGTCAGCAAATCCGTGGGTGCGGGAAACTTAACCTCGTGCGCGACTTAACCTCGTGCGCGGCAGGCAATTTGAAAATGCGACAAGCTCGGGCTTACCTTGCACTCGAGGAGCATAGAAGCGCACCTCTCCAGATCGGCGTCGGCATCTAGCGCGGCGCTGAGATCGTTGACCTTTGCGCGCAGCTGCGGGATGGAGATGGGCGCGTTCGCCATGGCGCGTGTCTGCGAAAATGGGGGAGCTGTGGGCGGAAGCTTTCGGGGCCGGAGCCGGCGTGGGCTGTGGCAGGCGGGCTTCCAGGCGCTGCGAGAGGGAGGGGCTTGTCGAGGATTGCGCTGAGACGGAGAACTGGGACTTGTTTGCCGATGGTAGCCTCCAGCGTCGGAAGGGAGGAGTGACGGATGGCAGGCGGATACAGTAAATTGTATTGGGCTGGGGTGTCATACGGGTCATACGGGTCAGCGAATTTTTTGATCTTTCTTGAAGGAGCACAACTGCCTCAATTCGTGCCCGCACCATCCTCCCGCTTCAACCTCAATTGCATGCAGAGATCACATCCATGTCTTATTAGCAAGCCTTCTTCAACTCCTCGTCTCCTAAATGAGATATCCCCAATGCCGACGCCTATATTCCTCCGCCGTAGCTGCCTCGTCCGCAGAACGCATGCACCGTCTGCGCAACCTCATCATCATCGCCCACATTGATTCCGGAAAGGTACGCCCCACCTCTCTCCCAAACAACCAAAGTCATCACATATAACTCACACATAGCCCCCCCTCACTTAAAATCCGCAGAGCACCCTAAGCGACCGTCTTCTGCAAGCCACAGGCACCGTCTCCGCGGCTGCGCTCGCCTCCCGTTCCCAGTTTCTCGACTCCAACCCGATTGAGCGCGAGCGCCAGATCACCATCAAAGCCCGCGCCGCCCGCATGCGCTGGGGCGACTCCACGGTCACCCTCATTGACTGTCCAGGGCATCACGACTTCTCGCGCCAAGTGTCCCAATCTGCCCGCGCCGTCGAGGGCGCCTTACTGGTCGTCGACGCTTCCAGGGGCGTCCAGGCCCAAACCTTGAGCAGCGTTGAACTCGCCCTCGAAGCTGGCCTGGAACTCGTCCCTGTCATTAACAAGATCGATTTGCCCACCGCTGATGTGCCGGCTGCGCGCCACCAGATCGAGCAGCTTGTGGGTCTGGATGCGTCCGAAGCGATATTGACCTCGGCGAAGAGCGGCTTGGGCGTTGATACACTGCTAGACGCCATTGTGGAACGCCTGCCGCCGCCGCAGGGCTGTAGAGAAGCGCACCTCCAGGCTTTGGTTTTTGACTCATATTACGACCAGTACCGCGGCGTCGTTCTTTTCGTTCGCATTGTGAATGGCACTGTGTGCAAAGGGGATAGCATCAGGCCTATGACCCGCACGCATTCCGATGACGGGAGTGTCTCTGAATTTATTGTCGATAAGGTCGGCTTTCTTCAACCGGACGAAGTCGAGTGCGATATGCTCGAGTCGGGGGACATCGGCTTTTTGACCGCAGCTATCAAAAGGACTGGTGATGTACCTGTTGGTGATACTATCACCCATTGTGGAGACAAGGGGGCCCAAGAGCAGCTTCCTGGCTATGAGGACACCAAAGCGGTCGTCTTTTGCGGCCTGTTTCCAACGGATTCAGGTGATCTACCGGCTATGCGGATGGCACTGCAGAAGCTGCAGTTGGAGGACGCAAGCATGGTGTTTGAGCCGGACAAGTCGGCGGCCATGGGGACCGGATTTCGGTGCGGCTTTCTTGGGCTCTTGCACATGTCGGTTACACAGCAACGACTTGAGGAAGAGTTTAACCTCAACTTGTTTGCTTCTGCCCCTTCTGTATCATATAAGGTACGTTGAATGACGTCTATCATTCCCGCTCTTCACTAGCAAATTGCTCCATCATGGGCAGAGTAGCGCGTTTCGCTAACTGGGCATCACTTCGAATGACATATTTTATACCGCGTTAGATACTCAAGGAGGGCGAGACTGAATGGCTGGACGTCTCTAATCCGGCCTCAATTCCAGATGGAAAAGTGAAAATCATGGAACCTTACGCAAAGGTAGAGCTCATCTGCCACAGCGATCATGTCGGAAGCCTGATGGAGCTCTCTCAATCTCGCCGCGGTGAATTGCAGGACCAACGATATATTGGGCTAGACCGGGTGAAACTTATGTACTCGTTACCCCTTTCCGAATTGGTGACGGATTTTCACGACGCAGTAAAGTCTCGGAGTTCAGGATTTGGGTCTATGAGCTATGAACTAGAGGGGATGCGGCCGAACAGGTTGCGACGGATGGATGTACACATTGCCAATTCTGCGGTTGATGGACTCTCATGCGTCATACATGAAGATAACGCATACGCAGAGGGACGGTTTATGGTGGACAAGCTGAAACAGGTTATTCCCAGACAAATGTTTAAAGTTGCCATCCAGGCTGTGATCGGAGGCAAGGTAATTGCGAGCGAACAAATTTCTGCCTACAGAAAAGGTGAGTGTGTGTCGTTTTTAAAGATTCTTAAGATGCGCAGATTGGAGGGGAATTGTCCGGACTGACACTTTGAAACATCGGGCCCTGATTGATGTTGTTCCGTTTTCCGCAGATGTGACGGCGAAATGCTATGGCGGCGACGCCAGTCGAAAGAAAAAACTGTACGTTTAGGACCTTGGTCGAACATATTCGATGGATGGGGCTGCCACGAGGGCTAACTATTTTGTTTTCTCTCATCCTTGCTTTATTCCGTTTGTTATCTATGTTGCAGTCTCAAAAAACAAGCAGAAGGTAAGAAGCGCATGAAGATGATTGGCAGCGTAGCAATCCCTCAAGAAGCATTCCTTGCCATTTTGTCCAGAGATGGGTGAAGGACAGTTTCGGAAAGCACACGATTTCAACAAAAGGAAATTGGTAGGGAAAAAAAAACTTGGTTGTGCAGACTCGAAACGTGACCCCCGTTAACCCGCGGCGGAATCGCACTTCACCAATCATGCCAGTATGCACAACAGAGCCATGTACAGTTGTAACATGCTGGCTATTGGACATGGTGTCACTGTCAGTGGTGGGGGGCAGGCTATTCTACAGGCGAATGAAGGACAGGCGTGTGTAGCCTTGGAGTTGCCACTCCCGCTGTTTATTCCCTTGCTGATGACCCCCCTTTTTCCAGATGAGTCTGCGTTTTATGCTGTTTATATATCCTGCCGGATATCCCTCTGCCAAGGTAGTTAGATGCTTGCGAAGCCTCCCGACCAATTCGACGCCTCGATGTTGGACGTGGGCATTCTTCCTAATTAGAGTAGACCTTCCGAACGTACTCGAATTACTCGAGCTCTTCTGAGTTCTCGTTGCCTTCTCTACCATCTAGACGTGACCGTCGTAATGGCGTGGGAGCGCGGACTGTCGTCCATTACAGTACGCCAACCATGTGCTTCACACACCCCCCAGTCGTCTGAGAGGCATTGTACAGTGCACGAAAAAACTAAAGAGCACCCCCAAATGGTGAATGCATTGGGGTGCCCAAAGTTCCATTCAAATGGAAAAAAAACTGTATAAAAGAGCAAAATTTCGCATTGATCCCTTTATTATTTTGAAATATATCTCCACTTCGGCTACTGTAGAGGGTGTAAGAACTATAGAGCATTGAAACGAAAAGCGCACCAACGGAAGGATTACAAGTGGCTAGTACGATTTCTTACCGCCGCCAGCTTCGATGACATCTAAGCAGCGCTTGTGCATGCTCTTCACAAGCCCATACAGATACTTACGGTCCAATTTCGACCATTCTTCAAGAACTGCAGTTTTTAGATCGTCAACTGTGTTATATTGACGACAACCAGCGTAGACAGCCCTTGAAAACGTTTGGGGAGTGCTCGCGCGCCCGCGCGAGCACTCCCCAAACGTTCTCAATGGGATTGAGGTCGGGACTTCGCGCGGGCCAGCTCATTACGATAATATTGTTAGCAATAAACCATGCCTCCGTTACCTTAGACCTACGGATAGAGGCATTATCCTTCTGAAATACTCATCCATTTCCGTGCATTCTTTCTGCAAAAGGCAGCAAATAGTTAGCAAGCGTTGTAGTGTACTTGGTAGAGTTCTGCATACCAGCAATTATCGCTAAATTTGAAGTAGCAAGTGAAGAAAATGCCCCCCATATCATTAAAGAGCCACATCCCATCTGTCGACGAGACCAAACCTTTCCCTCCTTTCGAAAGTCGTGCCAGTAGTAGAAGAGCCCGTCAGGACCATCGAGATTGAATTTCTTAAGTCTGAAAAGATAACCTGTCCCCATTTCTGCATGTTCCACCCTGCTCTTTCCTTTGCCCACTTTACACGCACTGTTCTATGCTTTGGAGTCAATGGAGAAGCCATTTGCGTACATATGGATGTCCAAAAAAAAACAAAGAAATTTAGTTAACTAAATTTCGAAACGAGGAATTCCTCGTTTCGCTATCCACTGCGTATCCCAGATCGATGGTAATGTCCATAATTCCTTTTGGACACATCTCTTTGAGCCATACGTAGAGCTCGGTGTTCCGTTTCGTAAGGGCGTCTGCGATGTTGTTCTTTCCGGGTATCCAACTTATAACGTCGAGATCTCGAGATTCGAAGCTATTCCTCATCCGCTGCACCGTTTGTCTCAAGCGATATTCCGTACTCTCGTGGAGGGTAGTTATGGTGTCTTAAAGAGCTCGTCTGTTTGCGTTAAGCTCTTGTTTGATTTTCCTGTTGGGGAAGAGTGAGTTGAGCGATGACTTGTAATAATAGCCACGATCATCTCCGTGTGCTGCAGCGAGGATTTCAGCGCCGTACGAGAAAAAACTAACCCGTTTTTGTTTGTGGGATGTCCAGTCAATCGGGTGAAAGATCTCCTGTTCACCACCCTTTGGGATAATGCGTATCCCTGAGACGAGTCCCGCTTTTCCATAATCTCTCTCCCTGGGGTGAGATGCGTCCGTGAATGTGCTGAACATAACTCTCTTCGTGCTCCGAGTCCTGCAGTACGTCAACCATGGCTTCAGCGGAATGAGTTCCTTTAGCATGTCGTTAGCATCGACGAGGCTCCGCACAGACAATCTCGGTAGCCTCTGCTGCATGATTGAGGTCACGAGCGATGCTTGCGGTAGTACACCATTTCCTAGATACAACAAAGTGCCAGCGAGGCTGCCATACTGCTTCTTCTCAGATTCGGTGGCCAGCTCGTCTCTTTGCTTGCTCCTCTGCCGTGATATCGTGATGGGTTTCAGGCGGTCGAGGTACCGCATCATGGACATCCTAATGTTGCCCTGCTGGTCCTGTTCGATCTCACATCCGTTGAAGTGGAACTTGTTGTCGACTACCACTTTTCCGACTTGGAACCGTTTCTCTAGCCGTCGGACGAACTCGTGAATGTAATCTGTGGGTCCGCCTATGATGAACTCATCGGTCACTTTCGCTACGATCAAGACTATCTTGTCCTGTGTATCCCTGCGGATGAACAGTTGACTTATGCTGAACACTCGTTGTAGGTCTCCATCCAATAACATCCAATCCTCCACAGTCTTTTGCCATTGCCTCCCCGCTTCTACGATTCCGTAGGGCAGTTTCGTAAGTCGCCATAGCACGCCGCGCATGAACCCAAATAGATTGTGCCACTCAAGGGGCGGTCGGACATATATGTCCCTTGTGATGGGACCGCTCTGCAAGTAGGCCCCCTTGATATCCGCAGTTGCGAGGCGCATGCCGAGGAATGTGACGATCGACAGTAAGAGTCTGATTACTCCAAGCTGTGCTGTGGCGGAGTCCTTGCGTATGCTGTCTTTTTCATCATCTCTATTTCCGTGCGGGACTACCCTTGACTTGAGATCGTGTTCACCATCCTCCGCGGTCTTTATCTTATACACTACGTGCGAAGCGATAATGTTTGCATCTTTTGGTACGTCGGCTTCATGTGTCTTTTCAAAGGCAACGCCCAATTCGACCGGTACTCCTTCTCAAAGGCTTGCTCGAGGATCCAGGGTGGTGCGAAGCTGAGCTTGTTTCGTGCGACTTGCTTTGATCCCACTTCAGTGTACATCTCTAGGAGGATCCGTGGCTTATCTGACGTCACCTCTGCGCGGTTGTACAGTGGTCGTCTTGTGCTCATGCGCTGCTCGTATTTACCGATGTCGTTATTTGGTCCGCGTTGTGTTGTTCCGCCACTCGTTCCTCGTTCTACTGTTTTTGTCAGTAGGTTCGGAAGATTCTTATCCGTATGTGGCATGTTTGTGTCGTCTGCTGCTTGTGGTTCGGGTTCTACTGTCTCCCCCCATACGGAGAATGGTATCCGAGTTCATACTCAAGGGAGCATGACAGCAACTCCTTTGTCAGTTCTCCTTTGGGTGCAATTCGAACGTCTTTGTACGCTGGTTTCATGGTCGGACCTCTGCAAAGATTGCCGTCTTTATATCTCCGTACCTCGAGGTAGTGCTTGTGTGTCTGCACGACTTGGGCGCGTATCCACTCGTCCTTTTCGTTGTTTTTAGAGGAGGCGTACCATACCCACACATCGTCAGATGGTTGGAAAAAGTCAGGGGTGGGTGTGTTTGGAGTGCGGGATCGGAGGACCTTCTGTTGAGCGCGGGTGGCCATTTGTTCCTTTTGGGCGTCGAGGAGCTCCTGGGATACCTCAGAGTTTGGTATGCCGAGGATGGATGGTTGATATCCTCTCACGAGCTGGAAGGAGCTGAGGACTCGTGACCCTGAGAACATGTTGGAGAGGAATGTGGCACTACTACTGATAGTATCGGGTGTGGCTGTGCTGTTATCGTTGGCCAGTCTCTGCACAATATTCTTAATGGTTCCATTCTTACGTTCCACGAAGCCGACTTTGTTATGTCTTCGTGTCGGACGGGGGTGAAATTCGATGCCGTGGTTGACGGAGAAGCGTCTGAGTGCGGCTCCGTTGTATTCATCATCTGCTGACCCGTGTTTTGGAGTGCCGTGCTTGCATATCCAAAGTCGGTCTATCGCCTCCATGATCGTATTGACGTTCTTTGCGTCGACGATTTCGCACTCCGAATAGCTTGTTCCGGTGTTGGTGATAACGATCAATGTGTACTTGGTGCCGTTCATTTCGATGTACGTAAAATCGATTTGTACCTCTTCGTTGAACGCTTCGTTCACGTGTGTCAACGATATCTTCTTAGACGGCAATGGTTTACCGTGTCTTGCGCATACCTCGCATGCAGCGTCGATATCGTCTATTGCGTCTTCTAGTTCTTCGCTCAAGATACCAGCGTGCCCGCACAGATCTTTGACTTGTTGCGATGGTGCATGGGTGAGTCTATGGATCTGTTTGGCTAGCGTTTTAGGGGCTCGTCTCGCGCGCGTGTGTACTACTAGACGATAGTATCGTCAGGAGTGTACCAATAGCCGTTTGCGGTCTCGGGGCAAGTTCCACTCTCATCCTAATGCAATCGGGGTTTCTTTTATCGTCTGCTGCAATATATGTATTGAATCTTCGCGGGGCGTTGTCGTGTGGTCTTAAGATCTTAATGAACGGCTTGTCCGTGAGGTTATGGCTGTCCGTATGCCTGCCTATGTCTAATCCTATGACCAGTGGTGAGTCTCCTTCGACGATGTCGAAGGTGAGCGACGTCGGTTTCCCCTCTGTATCAGCGATAGTCACGTTCCATGAACAGACAACCTGTTTCGCGTCGAGACAGTCTATGCCCCATCCGTGCATGTATTCGGAGCGGGGCGGTTCAACATTGAGTGTAATTCCGAGCACGTCGCAGATGTGGGTGACTTGGTTTAGCCCGCCGGTTGAAGTAGGAGCTCCTACGTCAAAGATAGGGTTAGGATCGGTGTGGAGCTTCATTGGTCCTAGTCGCGAAAATACGAGTCTGCCTCGCTCTCGCTTTCCTCCTCGTCGCGTCTGGATCTTTTACGCAACTTTTCTGACTTGCGTTTGTCAGGATAGGGGAAACGGACACGTTTCTTACTGCTGCTTTCCCATCGGCGTCTGTTGATCTCCCCGCGGAGATCCCTGATGTCTTGAGCTACGTCTTCGCTTCTCGTATCGTCATCTTCGTCGCTCCCGGGACATTCCGGGTCGCCTCTCCAGTGGTTCTTGCCGCCGCAGGCTGTGCAGTAGCTATTTCGTTTCGGACCGGTTTCTGAAGGGATGTAGCCTTTCTTGTCACGCCGGTTGTTGAAGCGTCTGGGAGTCGATCGGCATCTCTCTTGAGAGCTGCTGCGCGTTCTCTCATTCGAGTGACTTCCTGTCATCATTGATCCCACTTGCTTGATGGGTTCCTCGGTCTCCGGCTGAGATTTGTCGGGTTTATTTTGCGAGTTGTCGCATCGCTCGCGGTTGTTTGGCTTGTAGTCGACCTCGGACTTCATGTCTTTGAGCGCGTCGACTGCCGCATCGAGATTAATTGTGAACGGCACGCGCTCGTTTGCATTCACCGAATCGGATCTGTTATTGATAGCATTCAAGAGCGTTGTCTGACTGGTGATGTGCTGTTTCAGCGCCTGAAGGTTTACGGGATCGATAGATTCACCAGCGGTAGGTGCGGTAAGTGAAATGATGATGTCCTTTGCGGAGAGGGCGTTGGCCTTGATGTCGGAGAAGGTTTTCTCGTTCATCGTGAATGACGTCGTGGTGCTGTCATCTGTACCTTTCGCACTGCCTATAAGAATGCTGAAGATGTTGTTGTAGGTGGAAGCCGGGAGGTTGGCATTTTCCAGCAGTATCATTGCGAAGTTTTGACTGTCTTGGGAGTCAGAGCCTGAGTGACAATGATTGAGGTAAGCCTGTGCAATCTCTCGGAAATGCTCGGCATATGCTGCGTACGGCTGACCTCGTCCTCTTTTGTATTTGTATATCTCTTGACTCATCTTAACGAAACGCCGAACACCGTCGGTGACGGAGTCTTTTGCCACGAGTTCGATAATCTTCTTGATGCTCTCCTTATGTTCTGCATTGGTGAAAGCGGTGCAGTCGTCCTTTTCGAACTTCAGAGCACCGGAAGAGATTCCGCTGTCAAGGACGCGTTGATACGAAGTATCCATTGCGGCGTAAAGTGAGAGTCCCATTGCGCTGGCGATGCCCTTCGCTTTCGAATCTTGCCCTCTTTCGAACATGCGTACCCTCTGCATCCACATACGGACGTCGTGGCGATACTTGTGCTTATCGCTTATTGGTGTGAGTCGCGGGGCTTAAAGAAGTCTACCTGGAAAGCCAGACCTCCTTGGGCCCATAACTGTAACATGCTGGCTATTGGACATGGTGTCACTGTCAGTGGTGGGGGCAGGCTATTCTACAGGCGAATGAAGGACAGGCGTGTGTAGCCTTGGAGTTGCCACTCCCGCTGTTTATTCCCTTGCTGATGACCCCCCTTTTTCCAGATGAGTCTGCGTTTTATGCTTTTTATATATCCTGCCGGATATCCCTTTACCAAGGTAATTAGATGCTTGCGAAGCCTCCCGACCAATTCGACGACTCGATGTTGGACGTGGGCATTCTTCCTAATTAGAGTAGACCTTCCGAACGTACTCCAATTCCTCGAGCTCTTCTGAGTTCTCGTTGCCTTCTCTACCATCTAGACGTGCCCGTCGTAATGGCGTAGGAGCGCGGACTGTCGTCCATTATAGTATGCCAACCATGTGCTTCACAACAGTACAGTTGCAAGGGGAAGGGAGCATTACAGTACGCCAAATTTGCATAAATAGACCCCACCTCATTGCGATAAAAGCACTTTTAACACTGCCTCGAGAAGCCGATACAGGGGGTCTCCTCAATAGTTCGCTTTACAATAGTGCACATGCCCAAAAGTGCACCCCTTTCAGGGATGTCACAACTGTTGCCACGTGTACACCTGTGAACGTGGAGCCGTGCCGATGTAGATGCACACCGCTGTGCTGCGGTTGACGACCACGACCGGACACTCCGACCACCGATGGCGACCACCGCGACCACCGACCTATCATCAACAAGCGCGCAAGAAGCGACGTCAAAAGCTCATATCGGAGCATTTTGTGGCCGGTGGGCTGTGACCTGTAGATGGACCTTTATTAGTTCGCGCTGTCATTAGTGCGTATCTATAGCTGATGGCACGAAAGTGCACTATTGAGGGGTAACTACTGTAGGGCAACACCCATGGTACGCGCGTGCGTGAGCGCGAATCTGAAGCCCATTTCTATCAAACAAAAAAGAACTCCAACTTATCACCCAAAATGTGGGCGAAATTAGCATATGAGCACGAAAACCATACGATACAGCATTTACTACAATGCAAAGTTGGCGGTAAACCGAAAGAGTAACGACGTCAGTGCCTAAGATAGTTAGATACATAAGCAATGCACATTGTGTGTCCATAAAAAACTTCGCATCGCAAGGAAAAATGCCTCGCGGAAAGCTACCGTTAGACCTCGAGAAGGGGCAGGGTGTGGCAATGAAACGGGAGTGTTTGAGCGTCGCGAGATCGCTCGTACGCTTAACAGGTCCCCAGGTGCCGTAAAAACTTTTTGAAGCCCTCAAAGCGGGTTGACGGACGCAAAAGCACTCGCAACGCAACAGAAATGTCTAAGAAGCAAACGCGGCTTTTGCTGCGAGAGGCTAGTAAAGGAGAAAAATCATGCCGGGAGCTAAAGCTAAGCCTAGACATTAGTGTGGTCCTCCGTCTCGTTCAGCAAATACTACGTGACGCACCGCATTTGAAGTACAAAAAAATCTGACGAGTCCGCAGATGCTCCAGAGGCACAAGATTGCCAGACTGGAATGGAGCAAGAAGATTCTGGAGAACGGAAGCGCCTTTTGGCGCCAAGTAATCTTTTTGGACCAGAAAAAGTTCAACTCGGATGGGCCAGATTGGTTGGCATGCTATTGGCACGACTTGAGGCGAGAGGAACAAGTATTTTCGACAAGGCACCAGAGAGCAGCATCTTTGATGATTTGGGGTGCTATCTCTTGCTACAGTACGTCTTATCTGGTCCGTGTTAAAGGTAACATGGACTCTACGCTTTATTGTGAGGTACTAGAGGAGGAACTGCTATCACCTGCTGCTGAAACGCTCGGTGAAGAATGGATATTTCAGCAAGACGGTTCATCCTGTCATCGATCAAACTACATCAAGAATTGGCTTTCGTCGAAACATGTCAAGTTATTGGGGTGGCCAGCAAAGTCACCGGACTTGAACATAATCGAAAATGTTTGCGGCTTGCTTGCCCGCCGTTTTTACGGTCATGGACGTCACTTTAGCAACCTGGAAGACCTCGCTGATAGAATCATAGATTGTTGGAGTTCTATTTCCGAAAAGTACCTGAATAAGCTCTACAAATCTATTTCTCGGCGCCTTATGGAAATACTAGAGAAGAAAGGTGGCCCTACGAAGTATTAACGCTTCACAGTAAACATTGCAAGTTACTGTACCATATGGTTTTTAGTGTTCATATGATAATTTCGCCCACGTTCTGGGGGATAACCTGGAGTGCCTTTTTTATATAAATGGGGTTCAGATTTGCGCTCACCCACGCGCGTACCATGGGTGATGCCTTATCGGCTTCTCGAGGCAGTGTTAAAAATTCTTTTATCGCAATGATGTGGGATGTATTTATGCAAATTTCGCGCACTGCACAAGGGCTGTAGTGTGCGGGCAAGAATACTGCAATCAATGTCCTCCCAACGTTCCCATCAGCAGCTTGAAAGAAATATACGGGGGGAGGTAAACAATAATTTACTCACAACAGTTAACTTTAGCACAATAATCATGGCAGTTGGCTATAATATTTTGCAGAGGCGCGTTTGTAGAATCTGATCAAGCACCCGGTCCGCCAGTCACCTTTTGTAACGCCCTGCGCTCGCACGGCTAGCTAAGGATCGAGATGCATACAGCACGATACCTCGGGGCGTAGCAGGATCGATCCCGTAGTGCGAGCCTGCCGCAGCGGTGAGTGGACAGCCACCTCTGAGGCTGCGATACTGGTTGCATAACCTTTGTACGAGCTAACCCTGTGCTACAAATAGTAGACGACTTTTTTGAGTACCGAACGGGTTTTTTCCCTGGTTTGATCAATCCTCATAGTTAAGAGCTCAAAGTATGTTCATTCGAACCGCTTTCCTGTTCTGCTTCTACGCATATGTCCCTCATCAGACCGAGTGCAACAAAATCGGTGTGGGGGTTTTTCTTTTTTTCTGGACCACTCGGAACACAGATAACTCCGTGGGATTTATAGACTGCACAAAAATACATATGAGCATATGTGGAGGAGAGAATGCGCTACAGCGCGCTTGCTACTCCGGGCAGAAGCGGTTCCACTGCCCCATATTCTAACTATTACAACCCGTATTGTTCTCGTTTCCCACATGCTTGGGCACGAGGTGAGTAGGGGCTACGACATCAATTTATTTAGACAAAGCAGCCTGAATGAGGAACTACAGTCCTACCTCATGGTTGAAGGTGTGCAGTACTGTATTTACGGAGATGCAGCTTACATGCTGGGGCCCTGGCTGCAAGTAGCTTTCGTACCACAAAGTGCCTCCGCGGAGCAATTACTGTACAATAAAGGAATAAGTGCAGCAAGAGAAGCTGTCGAATGTTCATACAAAGATCTGAAACAAATCTGGTCCCCGCAAGATTTTAAGCGCATGTTACGGGTGCGGAAAGCTCCTATTTCTATTCCATATAACGTGGCTGCGTCGATATGGAACATCTTAGTTTGCATGCATCAGAGCAGTGTTCATGTCACCAGCTAAATCTCGTGCAAACCGCTTTCTTTAGAAAGATACTTGAATAGAAACAACTAACCACACTCTAGCTTCTTAACTAAAGCACTCGGCATGGACAGATTATGCGTTCGTTTTAGGTCCCCACCTTTCTTTTCCTCCTTTTCTAGGTCAAACGGACGTTCCCGTAGCTCAACGCGCTTTTCCTTCACCGCAAGTAGTCGCAAGTTCTTTTGATGCGCCTTTTGCCAGCGCTCACTTTCTCGAAGTTTGCGAGCCTTGCTGTACTCGCGCTTTTCATCTTCCAAGAGCATATGCTTGCTATCATTTTCACGCTGCTCTGATATGTTTTAAGTGGTGGCGAAGCGGTCCTCGTCGTCCGATTCAACTGCGGCTGCTTTCCTTTTTCGTTGCTGCTTCTGCAATCCCTCCTCCCCAGAAGCCTCCTTCTCGTCCTCCGCAGAACCAATACGTACATATTTCAGTGCATTTGAGCGAATAGTCTCCCCTACAAGGCGCAGACGACGGTCCAAGTTTGTTTTCTCATCTCTTTCAGACCGCCTTTCATCCTTGAATTCATCTACAGTAAGCACTATATCGTCTAACAACAGCTCGCGTTCGCCTTGTATCTCAATAATTCCTAATGCAACAACGTTCTCCTTTACAGCAATGCGGTGATCGGAGACAATTTTCTTGAAGCCGTCGTTCAGGGTCTTCCAAGAGGGCTGACACATTCGCGGCAGCGCTGCATCTGGTGGTGAGGCATTAAAAGCCCCAGCGCTTCTTTGAAGCGATTTTGCGATGCACCGTGAGGTGGCAGATGACCGTCGACACCTTTTACCGCTTTTAGGGAGTAGAATGTCGAAGGTAGAAGAGAAGGGCATTCGCCGGCTCTTCAATCCAGTAACTGCAATTGATCTTGAAGAAACGGCGGGCGAGGTGTTCGTCGACGGTTTGTCGGTCCCTGGGTCAGAAACTGAAGCCATCTTGGCCCCAGAAATGTGAGGTCTTAACAGGCAGCAATACACCCCAATGCACTAGGTGGGCCCTCGCGCAGCACTGAACAGCTATACGGCGAATAGATGATGGAAAAAGGGGCTACGCTTTCGGGGCGGATTGCCCAGATTTTCGACTGCTGGAGGGAAGCACGATGGCGCGAGAAAGGGACTCAGAGGAGGTGGAGGTGACGCAACCGCGGAGCAGGATGCAGAACGACTCAGGATCGTTTCGGTGGAAGAGGAGCACGGGTGTAGTATTGTGGGAGAGCACGCCGGAGATCCAGAGAGGAACGTTGGCGACGGCACAGTAGCGCGGGTAAAGACGTAGCGTGCCCTTCAGGTCTAGAATCTGGTTCGGAGAGTGAGCGTGAGTCAGGGGAGGAGATCGCGTAGAGGGTCGGTTGGTAGCACAAATTGCGAGGCAGGGGATAGTGAAGAGGGCGGGGAGTCCCTCGAGAAAAGGGCGGGGAGTCCGTCATGAAAGGGGTGAAGAGGCCGCTTTGAAAGGAGTGGGAAGTCAGTCGTGAGAGGGGTGGGGAGGGATGGTGCGTATGGTGGGTATGGCGATGGGGAGAACGGGACGGGGGACTAGTCGGTGGCGTATGTGATATGTCACTGTAGAGTACATGCCGTGCACGCCAAATAGGGCGAAATGCACCGCCCTGAACAGGTCCATGTCGAAGGGTGCTCTGGTTGTACTTCTTTTTGCTTTCGCTAACTCGTCGATACAGTATTGCGAGAATGATTTTGCTTCTTCAGCCTTCTGGGAGACGCGTACAATGAGTGGCATTCGTTTCAAAACATTTGGCCAGATATTGAATTCATTTTTTTGCGTAAACCCTCTATAGTTGAACTGTGAAAAACAAGAGCAGTTTTCGTCATGCGAAGCACAATATCCCAGACAGAAGACGTGTACTGTTTCCTTTGGTACTGCAGTAGATGATTTTTGAGAACTTTTAGAATGAGTGTTCCTCATCTTCCTTATTAGTGGTCATCGTCAAACCCTGAAGTGCACTACATCTCGTGGCATTTCCTCACCATGTACTGATGCTCACGAAAATTAGCCTCAAATTACTAAATTTGATGTCCTACTTCGACAAAAAGGACTGTTTACTACCCTGAGGTAAACTACATTCGGCGACTAGAGCACCTCCTACGAGTTTATTGCTCTTGATGCTGGTCGGAGGCTAAAATCAAAAGCTCTTTTCTCTGCAACTGACGGCTTTGAACGCTTTAAGGTACTATGGCTGTGCTAATCATCCCAGCAAGACAAGCAAATTGCCTGCTTGCACGTTTCAAACCACTGTGTTTGACGTGGTCCTTTTCGTTTGATCTTTAGTTTCCCATCTTTCAAGCCACGTAAACACCAGCTGCAGATAACACAGTAAGTTACCGGACCATAGATGCGCTTGTGTGCAATTGTCATCAGCAAGCTTACTGCTCTAGAGCCGAAAAAGGCCTTTTGTCATATTTGGCGATGCATACGGTTGTGCCGTTGTTATTAAATCTTACTTCAATGAATAGAAGCGGTAAGAATGAGATGCTCCTACTGGCATTTTGATGTGATACCGCACGCCAAAAGCTCAATGGATGGCTGTCAATTAAAAACAGCCATGCCATACCGAATTCGATAAATTAAAATTAAGATTTCAGAACCTATCTTCTGCTATTGACACGTGCTCATGAGTACGTAACTGAATTTCACTCAGATGCCAAGCTAGAGCTCAGAAAAGGCGGTAGTTTGATATATCAAGCTACCGCCTTTTCTGAGTACTGCATATATATGCAGTACTAGTTTCAGTACCAGATCCGACTCTCTGCACGCCCCTCTGCCGCAGTCCTAAACCACAAAGAATCCTCTTTTCTGACAGCTTCCTTTCTGCGAGTTGCGTGCTCGGTTGAAATCTCATCCTCAGTAAGTGACGTCACTTCTGCCACAGTTCTGACCCACCACGCATCCAATTTTCTGACAGTTTCCTTTCTGCGAGTTGCGTTCTCGGTTGAAATTTCATGCGGAGACAAGAGTGCGCTTCAAACGTTCGGTAAGTGAGCGCTTTCGGATGCGACGAATAATCGGATCCTACATATGCATCTCTAGGCAATACCGTTTCGCGATCACCTACAAAGCATAAACGTAAGTTCGCACATTCTCAAACGCATTGAAAGTGTCGAAGTACTGTTCTGATCAAGCCTCACAGCGTTCCTTGTCTCACTGCTGGTCAACCCTCCCGTCGCCTAACTCAGGATCAGCTAAGCCATCATTACACCCTCCTTGGTCCCTCAGCATTCCAATCCACCATCGTTGCATACTTTGACCGTAACAAACCTCTCCCTGGTATGTTTCTTGGCGTTTATTACTCTATAGAACGGAAGCGTAGTGAAACACTGCCGCGGTATATCGGTAATTGGACGGGGTAGATGTAGTGTATGTAGCCGTAACAACAGTCTTTGGTTGCTACAAATAATTTGGTGCGACCCCCGCTGGAACCGCCAACGGTTCCACTGTTTCCGGACCAGCGAGGTGACATCACTTTGCCAGAAAGGCGCTGGACTAACATTTTATTGACGGAGAGTAGGTCGGGGCATAACGTCTAGTGCTGCAATGAAGCTGCGAAAGGAGACATATTTTCAATGCCCTGGATTAACAAAACATATTCGTCCGTGGTTGCGCAGACGCAGCGATGCTCACCGTCTCATCATTACCTCAATGTAACAAAACGTTTCCTTGCGAGAGCTACCCATGTGCAGCGCCAGCCAGCCATCTACCGCCACGGGCCATGTAGAGCCGCTGTGCCATAACTATGCTGCTTTCCAGCCAATGGCGTTATTGGTAAAAAATGTACGAAATCCCGACATGAAATCAGCAAGCGCTGCTACATTTATGACACCTTTTTTGCTGGCCCGGACCAAAATATTTGCGCGCAATTTTTATTGCCTCGGATAGGCTGATTTGACCTTGATGGTCACAGGAAGTTCCTGTGCACCGCACGGAAAGGCCTCATTTTTTCCTTGAATTTTAAAAGTCGACTTCGCCCCCAGCTTCATATTCTTCCCACCCATCAGTATGTCATTGACGGTCTCTTGCTGTGTAAGAAGAATTGTGATTTCCTGTAGAGCTTTGCTCGGTCCGTACGCCCGCATACGCAAGGAGTTGTTAACTATTCTGCCAAAGAATTTGAAGTGTTGGAATCGGCAGTACGCTGCTGAACAGCACCTACTCTGCTGGCACAACCGCTAGCCTCCATCGTTCATCTTCTCAGCCGCCACCGCTTTTGCACGGTCTCTCCTAGTGAGCCACTTGTTAGATAGATCGAACTTCATTGGCCACAGCTCGGTCACTCCCCGGAAACGCTTTACATCCTCCACATAAATGTGCAGCTATGCACGAATCGCACACATGAGATGTACTTGAATGGAATGGGTATTAACAACACCACTCTCACAGAAGAGGTCCCTAGTGTCTCGTACTTTAACTTAAATTTTCTTGTTAGTAAATTGATCACATGGCTGCAAAAAGTATGAGGTATTTGCAGGCCTTTGTACGACGGTACACTTGTTAGCAAAGACCAACTCCAACCACTCTAATCCCTTTTTCGACGCCTGCATGTCCAGAAGAAGAACGTACTGTCCCTCGGAGAGGTTTCGTGGCACAAATCTATTCAAATGTACTATAAATAAAGGTACAATTTTTGGATCCATTGAATCTTTATGTGTCATGCTCACAACAGCATCTTTTGGGAACTACTCCTTCTCGTAAAATTGTAGCACGGATGTGTCTTTGAGCTTGTGCACGTCTTTCTGAATTGGCTTGTACCAGGCCGTCATTTGCCTCACTCCAGCGACAATGAAGAACGGAGGACGAATCATGCCAGATGCCGAAACTGCCAAAACAGCAGTTATATGTTTCCCACAGCCGTTCCGTAGATTTGTTGAGACAAAGCCATCGTGGTGCGACAGCGAAGAGCAGAGGACTTTCCTTTTGCGTCCGAACTCAACAGAAGCATGGGTCTCATCCATGTTCCTCAGACGATGTCCGTCATTGAAAATCCCGGGGAACTCGTTCTCGACGCTTCGCAGAGCATGCTAATATGTCTTCACATGCTCATAGTTATCTCCTCGAAGCTTCACCAAAGCTTTATTCTCAGCTGAGCGAACTGTTATCTACGGGTGTCTTGCACGAAAGGCGCTTATCGCGCCATCACAGGGTATGCCATTCGCAAAACAATTTGTCCGCCCATCCGGCGCAATTCGACCCATCTGATACTTGTGGTTTGCTGTGGTGCCAGCAAATCCTCTTTGAGCTGCAAAAGTACCACGCCTGAGGGCCATGTCTTCCTCTTCACTGGACAGAACCGTCCTGGCTCCGGGGCGGCAGTTTTCGCTCAACAGTTTGTCCATGCTTATGTCCTCCTTTTTCATAAGGGCCTTCCTGATATTTTCGACGAAGCCCTTTTTAACTCCACTTTTTTCTCCAACCTTGCGAATGGACCGCTTCGTGTTACAGAGCAGGTCATAGGACTTTTTTCGACACTTTGAAACTGTCTCATAATGATCCTGTTGAGTCCGTTGCAAAATTCTTTCTCGTCGGAGAGAATACGGCATGATGACCTCAGGGAGTGATAGTGTCGAAATTGGCACGATGACGTCATGTTGGGGGAGTACCGTCGTATCACAGCCAAGATTTGTAATTTGTACAAACCCGACGCCGCAGGTTCATTACCGACACACGCCTACACGTGTGCCTTACAGGCCGACAGACTACAGGTGTGTCTTACAGGCGGACGGACTACAGGTGTGCTTTACAAATGGGCGAACTCCACGTATGCCTTACAAATGGGCGAACTACACGTGGGCATTACAGGCTGACGACGTACTGTATACATTACAGCCCAGAGGTTGTATATGACAAGATACAGTAGTAATGGCATAGTACAGAGCATTGCGTAGTAGAGTACAGTAGTGCAGCAGACCGGACATTGCCCAAGACC